CCCCGCGTGAGGCTCTGTGCTGACCTTTGGGAGCCTGAAGCCTGCTTCGGATTCTGTGTCTGACCCTCCCCCGTTCATGCTCTGTCTCTCTCTGTCTCAAAATAAATAAAAAATGTTAAAAAAATAAAAATAAATATTAAATAAATATTTAATATTAAATATTTAAAAAATAAAAATAAATAAATTAGCATTCTAATAAAATTACTTTTTTATAATCGTAAGTATTCTGGTTTAAAATTGTACTCTTGCATAATTGCTAACATAAAATATTATTTTTATGGAGAATATGTCTGCATATCAGTTACCTGCTTCCATGTGTTACATCATTTACTGCTAACAATAATAATCGTATGTGTTAATATTCATTCAAAATTTAGTATTGATCATATCCTTTATATGCATAATCATATTTCATCTTTAATTCTTATGACAATTTTATGAGGAACAAATATTATTACACCTAATAAGAAACCAGAAAAAAAAAAAATAAGGTTAAGCATCTTACTCTGGACAGAAAAGCTAATTTTTTTTTTTTTTTTTTAGACCAAGAACCTTGGGAATTGAATCTCAGTGTAAAGAATCAAACCATCAATCAGGGAGGAACTGACTAAATGAATTATCCATTAATTGGCCCAGAATTCCATTATTGTTCAGATAATACGAAACCACATTGTTGACATGGAATAGTGTCTATGTATGAGACATTTATATTTTTAGACAAAAGTCTAGTCGTGTGTCCTGCATGTGTTTGCACATTACAGCATGGGAAGATAGACAGGTTTATAATCCCTTATTCAAAATCCTTGCACTCAGACATGTTTTGTAATCCTTAAGTCTTCCATATCTCAGAATGACATTTTGTTGTACATGTCATGTATGGCCTATCCCAGCAGAGACTGATACAATACCTCAAATTTAAACATATTAGTATTTCTTCAGTAAAAAAAAAAAAAAAAAAAAAAAAAAAAAAAGTGTTGATTTTAACACTAAGTGGGACAAGTAAAGATTAAAAATAATCTTAAATCAGTTCAGATCTAAGTTCTTTGGATTTTTATTTAGAGAAGGGATTGTGGGTCTGAACAACAAAAGATTAGCAATAATTACCTCTGAGTACTAAATTATAAGCAATTATAACTTTTTAAATGCAACTTTCTCTATTTTCAGTCCACAAACATGTAATGAGTTCTTACTATACACCAGGTGCTGTTTTAGGTATGGTTTTCTAGTGGAAGTTTTGCAGTAAAAATTCCTCTTAAAATTAGGAGAAAAATATAGTCATTTAACTTTGGGAAAAACAAGAAAGAGAGAAACTCAAAGACACACATACTGGACCGAAAACCTGAAGTTATTTTAAATGCAAAAACGTGGATCTTCTTGCATAGAAGAGTTTTGGAATAGTTGCTGTTATTCCTGAGAGTAAAATCTCTTCTAGGGAAACTATTGACTTGGTAAAAATCAAATAGGAAAGGAGTAAGTGGCCCTGCAGTCAAATGTAGCCAATTCATCCCTGGAGGCTGACTACAAACTCCCAGTTCAATGTTAGAGTAGTTGAAATCCAAAAGGCAATACACTAGCAGTGCCTGACTCTCAACTACACAGGTCCAGAGGCATAGTCTCAATGGAGTAGCTTCATCTTTAGGATATCTGTCACGGAGTCAAAAATTCAAGGGCCCCCAAATCTCATATATTTACATTTCAATTGTCCTTGAAAAACTATTCTTTAAGGGTCACTTAATCCTAGGTTTAAAGAAATATTATGTCTTCTTCTTTTACATGCACTAGACATATTACGTATAAATATGAAACACAAAGTAGATAATTTGTCCCCCAAAGAAGTAAAAAAGTGGAAGAATTCTTCTCTTTGCTGAGGGCCTGCATTCTCCTTCCTTCTTCTGAAAATGGAATCAGGCTGTCATACATAGTTTGAAAAATAGGTTTTTCCTGTCTCTGAAGGAGCATGAGCTTATTCAAGCAGAGTGAGGTAGTTTATAAAAGCTATACACTTAATATAAAAAAGACAAAGTAGAAAACTCTTCCTGTAGTCTAATTTGATTTAAGGTTCCTGATACCTCTTTTCGTGAGAGGACAGAACATAACAATATGAAATGGTGCACCTACTAGCACTGTGCATAAATGGCTCAAGCTGAATGTGTAACAGTAAGGTCTCCGTCTATTATTGCAGAACCAATAAATAAGCATAGTGAAAATCATGACATACTATTACATTACTCCGTGTTGCCTCTATTCATTAAAAAAAAAAAAGATGAGCGCATTTAAAATAATTTCACACGTCGAATGACAGTAAGCCTTCCAATCGAGATGATGTTGAAGGGAATATTTGTAAAGGGCAGATGCACGGTCTTATGTGGCTTATATCAACATTACAATAGAAGCATGAAGAATCTGATAAATAACTACTTCATCCCAAATGATAGCAGCATAGTAGCCCAGTTACATCATTCGCCTGCTCTACGTGTGTTCTGTTATTATGAAGTCAATAAAAAAGCACATTAAAAAGCTTTAGAAAAGACTTCCCTGTCAATTAGCCCTTGGATGGATTCTACTTTTTCTGTTTCTCTGTTGATTTAATATACTAGATCATATTAGCAGCATTGGCTTGTAAACAAGGAAGATCTGAATCCTATTAATGGAGATACGCTGCCAGAATAATCAGCTTCATACTTAACAAGTTTCCAAGTATTTGGAAAAGCTGTGAAATGGGATTATAAGGTTAATCTGTGTACATCTGGCTCGCCACCATATAAATATTTCAGAAACTTGATCTCATAGGCTGAAGAAACACCTGTCTAATCATGACTCTTTTCCAAGTTACATGAACTTCAGCGAGCAGAGCAGTACACAAATGCTGACAAGAAATGATGGTCAATTTACATAATGTATCTCTCGTGTTATGCATATAATTTTATCATGTAACTCTTCTGAATGAGGACGTAGGCAATATTCGGGGAAGATTCTGTGCTGTCATACTTATGTTGCCAAGAGGGAGTGAGGGGGAGGAAAATTTTTTTTAAATTCAGGATAACCACCTGAAATACTATATATTGCTTTTTTTTAATACCATGGTATGTAATTTTAGCATAATTGGATGTTGTAAGTATAAATGTAATATAATATGGACCCAGAGAATAATTAATGAGAAGCAGGAGTTCGTGCATAAAATAACAGTAAAAAGTTCAGCAGTCCCTCTAGTTAATTGAAACCTTAATTTGAACATCAGTTATTTTAACTAGATCCAGGATTAAATAACTATGCTGACTCTTTGTCATATATACACCAGCACATTATATTAAGCCTGATTTTATTTTTTCTAAATTTTGCTCAAAAACATAATTGGTTAAAAATGTACCGAATATGGCTCTTATCAAATTAACTTCAAATGTCCAACTTGAAAACATAGATTTTGAAACTGTGGTCCAAAATGGCAGCTAAAGGTCAATGAATCGAATTTCCAATTATATTTCCTGGGAGCAGATGGGTGCAATGAAACCTAATGATTGAATTTTAAATGCTTTCTTGCACCTTTTATCTGTTTCCCAACATGTTGATTCTACCTTAATGCTCTAACAAGATAATAGGTTTATTACAATTAACCAACTGAAATGATATCTCCATTTTCCAATTATTCATATCATATTACCTGGGGATATTGAATCAGAGCTCCTTTCCTCTCCCACCCCTAGTGCCTTTCCATCAAAATCCTACACTTACACCAAACAAAATCCAAACTCTAATATCATTAAATAACAGATGTGTCCTGGAGATTTGATTTCTCCAGTTAAATGATAAGTACTTAAAATGAAGCCCAAGTCCACTGAGGCTCAACGGGAAATTTGTAATGAAAATAATTATAAGGTATTTGTTGGATAAGATTAACTATAAATTTCTTTTCCTTATGCTATAAACAGATACATTAGTCTATTTCTCTGACCTGCATAAGCATAAATAAATATAGAGGGAAGTTTTATCAAGAGGACAAAAAATGAAATGGTCTAGGGGTACCTGCCTGGCTCAGTCGGTAAAGCATTCAACTCTTGATATTGGGGTCATGAGTTCAAGTCCTAAGTCAGGCAGAGAGTTTACTTAAAAAAAAAAAATTAAATGTTCTGTTTTCAGGAATTGTAGATGGAGGATTTTATCTCTACTATATCTCAATAGAGCACATTTTTGCATGAAGAACAAAAAGAAGGAATTATGGAAAGGTTTATTTAATTACTTTTATAAAAAAGAAAACCAATATTTCATCTTTTTAAAATATTTTTTCATGTTTATTTATTTATTTTGTTTGTGAGAGAGAGAGAGAGATAGAGAGTGAACGGGGAGGAGAGAGAGAAAGGGAGAGAGAGAATTCCAAGCAGGCTCTGTGCTTCCAGCAAAGATCAACATGGGGCTCGAATCCACAAACCATGAGATCATGACCTGAGCTGAAATCAAGAGACCAGTGCTCCACCCACTGAGCCATCCAGGTGCCCCCAATATTTTATGTTTTTAAATCTAGAACAAAGGAGGGGGGCCTGAGTGGCTCAGTTGGTTGGGTGTCCGACTTCGGCCCAGGTCACAATCTCGCAGTTCACAATTTCGAGCCCAGCATTGAGCTCTGTGCTGACCACTCAGATCCTGGAGCCTGCTTCAGATTCTGTGCCTCCCTCTCTCTCTGTGCCTCCGCAACTCATGCTCTATCTCTCAAAAATAAATAAAAACATTTATAAAAAAGAAATCTAGAAGAAAGGGAATCCAAGAAGCTTTTTATTTTAACTAACCAACAAAAGTTTCTCATTTATTAAATGCATTTTAATAATGTTAAACATAATATTGTTGAATCCAACCCATTTTAATCCAACCCATTCCTATATTGCTCCACTATAGGAATCAACTCTAGGCACCTCAGGTCTGAATATATATATCTGACTTCTTTAAAAATAATTACATTCGATGTAAATATACAAGGTTCTTAAGGTAGCCCTGTAAAAATATATTTTCAGAATGGATATCACAGAAAAGAGACCAGATGGCAAGAATAAGAAGAAAAGAATCAGAACAAGTCATGTGAGTAAGGCATATGTAACAATTCCTTTTCTTTTGTTTCAAATTATATGTTTTGATGATACTTTCCAAATATTCAAACAACTTTTTGGAATTTTTAAACAAATGATATGTGTTTTCAGATCATATGGTTTCATGTGAAGACTAACAAAAATGCATGAAACCTGGTGAACCTGTAGGACGTTCCCATTTTACCAGTATTGTTTAGAAGTCACATTTCTAGTAGATTTCTAAACTGTATTCCTTAAAAGAAAGCATGTGTGATAGTTCAAGAAAAAATACAAAGAAATGAGTAAAATTCAGAGAGATTATGGAACATTACAGGCTCAGTTTCCCATTTACTGATCTGCTCCTGGTTCTCAGACTTCTCTTAGTAACAGGACAGCAAGACCCAGACTGGCATCCTGTAGGGAGAAAGCAGCACCCATTGTCGCTACGCCTTCTTTCCCCAACATGCCAAATATTCCAGAGTAAATTTACAGATGGGCTCAAACTATAATGTTTGGGTAATTGTAGATATAAATGTCCCCTTTGAAAACTTATTATTCGTTGGTGTATCTTATATGATATTTAACACTATAATCTCTCAGAAAGTTTTCTCCTCTTTTCGAATGGTAATTGACAATGAATCCTAAACTTTAAATGTCATTTCTCTGCTCCTTCCTATTATTTTTTTCTTTAATTTTGTATCCCAACTATCTGGCTAGTGGAGATAATTAAATTTTTAATATGGTTTGAAAGCTCATTCTGCTTGAAGGCTTTATTCTATCAAAGCTTCTTATTGTTTGATAAAGATTTTGCAGTTAAAGTTTAAAATTCAGATAAAATAGTAAATAAGTCCTAAAACAGCTTAAAAGTAGTAAATTATTTTAATTAAGAGCTTTTTAATTATTTTTTATTTATTAATTGAATTGATAATTATATATTGAACAGCTCTGCAGGTTACATATTTTAAATAACAATAATGAAATGGGTAGCATACTGTTTACATGAATGCTTAGCTTATGCTTCCTCAGTATATGCATAGAAATTTCATACCACCTACATGAAATAGATTCTGAGATTTTGAGAAAAATTTTGTAGTTGGGTTATTATTATTATTATTATTATACACATTGATAATTGCCCATGGTGATTTTCTTTTTGCAATATCAGATGGCAACTGGTTGGTACCAAAGTGATTAAATCATGAAATTATATATTAACAAATACAAATAAATGTAATCCCCACATTACTATTTATGGCTTATAATTTCATTTCATTAAAAATGTCATATAGAAAAAAGGATCACATTAGTTACTTAATAATTTGCTAGAGGTGTGTGATTCTTAAAGCCTTAACAAAGAGACATAATATTTGAATTGTGTGGTTTTAATACTGTATAAAGCACTTCAAGGAATAGGACAAAAGATAAAAGATATGCTCTTACCAACAGCATTTGTTCTTGATATACATTTATATACTATATATCTATATACTGTATATCTATATACTGTATATATGTATATCATATACTGTATATCAAGAACAAATATATTAATGCACTTATATATACATATATATGTGTGTGTTATATATATATTTCTAGAGAGAGAGAGAGAGAGAGATACAAACAAATTCAGAACTTATGTCACTATCAATAGAATTGTATAGGAATTTTCATTGTAGTTATTACAAAGGTAAAAATTATACATAAAATTATCAAAACATGCCACCTTCAAATAAATTGTTTACCAGCATGTTTATATGAATAATATCTTCAACTTTGGCCTCCCTCATTTCTAGGTTTGAATCTAAACTCCAGCTCATGACTGATTAATGATTATAGGATTACCAAGAATCCGTATTTTTTAAGTGCTTTCTATGTATTAGAAACCATCTTAGGTTCTCCCAACTACAGAAACAAGCAAACGTATATGGTCTCTGTCTTCCAATATTCTGCTATTTAAGTTGCTTCGTGATAAATTAGCTTTGCTAAGAAAGAGTTATAACACTGAACCAGAGTTTTAAAACTGTTTAGACTTACTAATATTCATCATTTTGTGTGCAGATCAGTTAGATCTTTATAGAAACAAAGTTTACATAAAAAACCAAAGAAGGAATGAATGAAAATAGGGTGTTAAATCTGTTAGTCTTCCAGTTTCTCTTATGCATTAAGTAGCTTTAGGATCAAGCATAGAAGAAAAATATTTTCGTTGACTTCTGCTGATTACATAGTATTTTATAGTTCAAAGAAGGTGCTTTTCTTTTTACCTCCCGACCTGTGCTGCTTTCTCCAACACTGCCAAATGGTCTTACTACCATTTACTTCAAACTTAACCAGCCAACAGAGGAGTGTGATGGGAAATATTTTCTACCCCTTCGCTGAAACGTTACATGTCAACTTTTCACCTAAGGCAAAATTTAATGGCTGACTTGTGGATCTTTATTTCTAGAGATTTACTATGGAAACACTGACATAACCTTTAACCAGAGCAAACAGAGCTGCTCTAATAAGCAGGTAACACCAAACCTAAAAATGCAGGAGGAACAGAAAGATCCTGGCAGGAATTAATCTGCCATTTTCACACATCTGCCCGAGGGAGGTATTGTAATTGCAAAAATTTACTCTAAGACTGCTGAGACTCATAGTAATTATGTTTCTTTCTTTTTTTTTAATAGAAATAGCCACAGGTGGTAACAAATTGGGTTTTGAGATGGGGAACTAGGCATGCATTCTAACCCAAATTACTATGTAATTGTCTTGATTATAAAAAAAAAAAATCGTAAAAAGTCTATTGCTCAAAATCAGAAAAAAAAAATTCTTAAATGCATTCACTGTCTTTTAGTTCTTTTAGTTTCTCTCCACTTAGGCATATAGCCTCATTTGTTGTTACTGGCACATCTGATCAGGGCCACACTGTAGAATAGGCTTTTGCCAATAACCCTTACAAATTCCTCCGACTGGGATTTAATAGGATAGTTCACTTATTTCCTGTCTTATTATCATCTAGAGATAAATACTAGCTTTCCTAGAAGGTCAGGATCTGGAAATGTAGCTAATAATTACAATTATCAATGCATCTGCCAATACTAAAAGTGCAAAGTTATAGACTTTTTATTTCAATCTATGTGTTGTATTAAAATGCTATTTTTCATACACACAGGCACACACGCACACACACACACACACACACACACACACACACACTCGATAATCTTCTTACTCTACAATTCATGCATTAGTACCAACATATTATCATTGTTTTTTTTTTTTTTTTTGATTGCAAACCAGGCATACCGTGCCAAGGAAGAGTCAACTGTCAAGTGTATCGCCAAACTTTCTTAATCAGAAAATTCTTATTAAATCAACTAAGATTAAAATAAGAGATTAGGCACTGGCTTAAAACAAAACACAAATTCATTAATGTGACAGCAGGTCACACAAAGCTTAAAATAATAATAAAAATAAAGCAATCAAGTATCTTGCCTTGAAATTATATAAATTATAGATTTCATAGATATTATATAAATTCTGTGTAACCTTTAATTCTATTTTAATGATGATAATAAAGATAAATGATTGATTTCTTGTTTATTTTTCATGACTTATAGATCCTCTTATTCACCTTCTTAATGCAATAAGTTGATTTGGGATAAACTACTTTAAAATAGATGCAAAACTGCAAAAGTGAAATAGAAAGCAAGACTTTGTGCCCCAAGAAGACACCACAATAGAATTCACCAATATTTAGACGATATCCTGGATTTTGCTGAGGAACCATGGAAATCAAATTATTTTTAAGGTTGTTTGGAAAGTTTCTACGACAAATATTTCTATAAAGATGTATCATTAAGTAATAATCAGGCTTGAGCTGGAAAATATCCCCTTTTGGAGCTAACTCCCTTTTTTCTGCAAATACTAAAAGAAAAAATGTTTTTTTCTTAGTAAATTTTGCTGAGATTTTAAGTATGTTATGTCTCAAACATTCTATTTCCTTATCGTGATCTCATCTACTGAAATGGAGATATTGGCAAAAAGCACATGCTGGCCACTTTACACTCTGGTAACATAATGCTTCGCATGGTAATCACAGGTGAATTTCTTGTATAAGTATCAGTTTTGCATATGGAATTGCTCTGGTGAAATAGCAAAAAAATCTATTGAATGTTCAATCACAAAACAATCTCAGTATACTCTGATAAAATATGCTGTGTGAAAAATAAAATAAACAGCTTTAAGCAAGGCATTTATACTGGGGTTGGTGAATTGAAAAGTAACATATCTTGAGGGCAAAAACTATCATTTCAAAACTGATGCAAGTGTTCATACTGCAAATATATATTTAAGAATTTATCTAAGACATTGATAGTGTAAAATTGGGCTATAGAAATAAGAAAGACATTTAAACCACTGTGACCATTTCTGCCTACAATAAAATACCTGTTGCATTTCTGCTTTATAAAAGTAAGCCATTGGCATTTAGGAAATATGTGTACATTTCAACTTGGGTTTTATTGAATGTGAGGGCATGGAAAGTCTAGGTATAATTGTAATCTAATCATTGCTCAGCAATGATTATTAAAGATTCAGGAAGAAATACTGGAAAGAGGTATACCAATTCATGACTTATGTGTAAATCACATTTTTTAAAAGTCATCACCAAGAAGAAAGAATATATCTTTCTGAAGAAAATATATCTAAAGAACCATACATGTTAGAAAGAACTTATTTAAGGATACTTGGGTGGCTCAGTTGGTTAAGCATCTGACTCTTGACTTTGGCTCAGGTCATGATCTTATGGTTGGGTTCATGATACTGAACCCTGCATTGGGCTCCATGCTGACAGCACAGGGCCTGCTTGAGATTCTCTCTCTCTCCCTCTCTTTCTACCCCTCCCCCATTCGTTCTCTCTCTCTCTCTCTCTCAAAATAAATAAATAAAAACTTTTTAAAAAGTCACATTGTAAGTTTAATCTGTTATTTAATATATATATGAGCTTTTCTGACTATAAACTCATTATCTACAGTATGTATTAATATAATTTACAAACATGTAACCAATGTCTCTTAAAAACAGTATATATATACAAAACACGAAGGCATAGCTTTGAAAACTTTAAATAGAGTTTTAATGCTCTCACTATCAAATTCTACAAAGGCTGCTTTTAGCTGATAAAGAGAGTAAATAAGAAATTGTCCTTTATATAGTCCCTTTAATGTGTTCCACTAATTAAAAATCAATCAGAAACATTACATGTTTAAAAAATATTAAATATTGTTCATACAGGCTTACATGATTACTTTTATCTGCATCTTGCTCATTTTGCATCTAACATAACTAAGGTTCTTGACTATATTATTGAACAGAAACATAAAGAAAAGAACACAAGTGTTTAAATATTTCAAAAATGGCTTAAAAATGCATTTTAATACCATTAAATTATTTTAATATATTCTATTCCTCTAATCAAACCAAAGTCTATTTATGTAGATTAGTTACATCTAAAGTCTCATTTATCCAACCTGTATTTATCCTTTGATCACAAAGCTTGTTAACTTAAATGGTCTTTTATTGTTATGATTCATTTTCCCATAATTATGCTGTTTAACTGCCTTATTTTTTGAATAAATATATGCAAACGCGCCAATCATATTCAGCACAGTTATGCTAGATGTTCAATGAACTGTAAGAGCCATTTCACTACAATAAAACTGCCTGGAATAGATCCAGGGGAAGGCCGACAAATACTAGTAATCAGAATGTCAGTAGGACCAGAACAGATAGAAGTGTGTCACATGTATATCAATAGATTCTCTCAAACACTATCTGAAACCAATTTTACAGTCTATCACTGGAAGAACTTTGTGCAC